TCGAAACCGACTCGACGGCACTTAACAACAACAACAACAACAATGGACTTCCAGAGCAAACAAATCTGTTAGAAGTGCAGCCAGAGTGCTCCTTAGAAGCCAGGATGGCAAGACTTTGTCCTCATACTTCGGACATATTGTCAGGAGGGCCCAGTTTCTGGAGAAGGACATCATGTTTGGTAAAGTGGAGGATCAGAGAAAAAGAGGAAAATTCCCAGAGATGGATTGGCATAGTGGTAGCAGGAATGGGCTCAAGCGTAACAATGATTGTAAGGTTGGTGCAGGACAGGGCAGTATTTCGTTCTGTGGTGCATAGGGTCACTAAGTCAGAACCAACTCAAAAAGTTGGCAAAAACTCATCTCTCCAAAATCTTGTCACTTTATGTATCTTGTATAACGCATGTAAAAATAAACATGCCTACATTAACCTCCTTCATTTTTATTTCTAAAAGGTTACATACATATTGAGGTTAGGAACTCTGGCGGCTTAGTGGTTATGTGCTCGGTTGCTAACCAAAAAGTTGTTGTTGTTAGGTGCCATCGAGTCGGTACTGACCCATAGCGACCTTATGCACAGCAGAACAAAACACTGCCCGATCCTGGGCCAACCTCACAACTGTTGCCATGCTTGAGTCCATCGATGCTGCCACTTGGACAATCCATCTCGTTAGGGGTCTTCCTCTTTTTCTCCGACCCTCCACCTTACCAAACATGATATCCTTCTCCAGTGACTGTTCCCTCCTGATAATATGTCCAAAATATGAGAGACGAAGCTTAGCCATCCTGGCCTCCAAGGAGCACTCTGGCTGCACTTCTTCCAAAATGGGTCTATTGGTTCTTTTGGCAGCCCATGGCACTTTCAGTATTTCCCTCCAAAACCAAAAAGGAGACAGTTTAAATCTTTTGGGAGATTCAGACTGCTCCTTGGGAGGAAAATGTGACCACATAATCCCATTACGATTTACAGTCTAGGAAACCCCATGGGGCAGTTTCACTCTGTCCTATAGTTTGAACGGGAGTCCTGGTGTGGCACTGTGGTTAATGCATTGATTTACAAAGTTGTTTTGAACCTCTAAGTCAGCCGTTCAAGTTCACATACTGCTCCTTGGAAACCCCATACAGGGTTACTATGGGTCGGAACTGACTTGATGACACTTAACACCATAGGCTGAATAAAATGCATCATCGATGGGCATTTGGGCCGTTTCCAGCTTTGGGTTCATGCCACAATGGACAGGGTGTGCAGGTGCCCATTCAACTCCCTCGAATCTCATCCTCTGCTAGATGTGACAGGATTTGGTGACGAGCCAGGACAAGAGTCCACACGCCCACTTCCTCACGGTTGCTTCCCCCAACCTTCTCAGATGATTCTATTCCTGATCGGCCAAGGCAGAACAGACTTCTGTAGACCGTGGAGCATCAGTTGGGGGTCCAGGCGTGCCTGAGAGAGCAGCCCCAGCTAGCAGGGTCCCACCTTTCACCTCCAGCCCACTGTTGCTAGTAGGGACAAAGGTCTCGTCAGACTTAAGTTTTTTCACTCTTGGGTTAGTGATTTTAGACTGTGCACCTTCTCTTCACAACATAGCCTACCAGCTTTTGTCTCCCCTTCCTGGCCTTTATAAACAGGGGCACCTGAATACAGCTAACTCTCATACAAGGAGCCCAGTGGCGCTGTGGGGTCGACATTGGACTGCAACTTTAGTGATTGAAATCCACCAGCTGCTCTGCAGGAGAAAGATGAAGATGTAGTCTTGATGGTTGTTACAAGTTGGAGTCGGCTTGGTGACAGTGGGTTTGTTTGGAGTTTAACCTAAATGTAAGCACTGTGGCTCTACTGAGTAAACACTGGGCTGCTAACCATAAGGTTGGTATTTTGAGTCCATCAGCCTCTCTACAGAACAGAGGCTTTCTGCCCCTATGAAGACTAACAGCCTCGGAAACCCTATCTAGGGTTGCTCCGAGTCAGAACCAACGTGATGGACTTACAGCAAAGCTAGGCTAGTGTTATCTGCTTAAACAACCAAAAAACCCACAGAGCTGCAGGCTCGGGGAGGGTACCAAAGTAAACAGTGGTCAACCTAGTGGGAATATGGTGGTCTTGGGTAAGACTCAACACTGTCTTCTGTCTGTTGGGTTATCCTTCGCCCTGGTAACTGTGGGATTTGGCAGAGCAGCCAGCTCCCACTGGGACTGTGAAGTGGCAGACAGCACACGGGGACAGGAGTGAGCCCACTCTTTGCTCCGCTTTGTGGAAAGCCAGTGTGCACAGACCACCACCATTCCAACCCACCATCTCCACACAGGCAGTGCAATGTCCCTGAGGAAGAGGAAATACTGGCCCAGCAGGTGCCGACGAGAACAGCTGCAAATCACGTGCGGCTTCGCAGCCCATCTTGCGCAAAGAAGCAAAAGGTTAATTAAACAAATCTCAAGCCTGTCCCAGTGCAGAACGAAATGAAGACAGGCAGAAGCGCTGAGCTGAGGGGGTGTTCTCAGGGGGGAGGGGGCTCTGTGCCTTCCCAGTTCCTATCACATCTGCTGTTATTGTGTCGAGTTGACCCTAAACGTAGTGACCCTAGATATCAGAGAACTGCGCCATAAGGTTCCCCAGAGCGTGAATCTTTGCAGGAGCACACTGCCTCATCGTGCGGAGGCTGGTGGATTAGAACTGCTGACCTTTCAGTTAGCAGCTGAGCACTTAACCCCTGAACCACCAAGGTTCCTTAGCACCCAATAGAATTGACTTCCCAAGACCAGGTTCCCATTTCTGGGCTCTTTCACTCTCCTGAGCGTTTGCTCCAGCTGAGGATGAACAGAGCTTGCTTTCCACCTCCATGGTCGTCTGACCTTGGGAGGGGGAGCCTGCAGAGGTACAGGACCCTCTGATAGTGTACCATGGGGGGAGGGGGGGCGGCCCGGGGCTCCAGATCGAACCTGCGCCTCCTCCACCTGGCCTTCTCCCCAGGTGTCTATGGACCACTGGAGGCAGAGTCTGGGAAAACAGGTATTACCCTGCTTTCCTTCTTAATTCTCAGTGTCTGAAGTCGACAGTGTAGGAACCTCAGCTCTTTATTTTGTCAAAAGTGTAAATATGATACTGTAAACAATAAAATGTCAAAATTTCAGGGGAAAGTTTATTTTTCCGTGTTCCCAGCTGTGAAAAAACAGCAAAACTGGCTTCTTCTCCATATTCCCAGTAGTCTCCGTGCCCAGTACAGGCGACGTGGGTGGGGGGGTCTCAGGCTGAGTGGCCCAGGGGCCCCTCTGGCACTTCAAGCTCACTTGGCAAAGCCAACAGGGCAGGTCCTGGGGAAATGTTCAGCTGGCCGTGGAAAAGGGCCTTTGAAGCAAGTACCCAAGTAGGGTCTCCCAGGGCCTGGCCTGTAGGCAGAGCAATCCGACAGGGGCTGAGGGCTTGAGCCAATTACTTTGTTTTGTTTTGCTTTTTACAGATGTGATGAGCTAGAAATTCTCTCAAAATGTACTATGAGAGATCCCTGTTAGGTTAGGCAGAAGGTTGTTAATTCTGTCATATCGGTTCTGACTCCTACTGACCCTGTATGGGGTTTCTACAGAAAGGCTTGGGACTTTGAACCACTGACCCTGTGGTTCAAACTGACCTTGACCTTGCATATCATACAGCACAACAGGACTCCAACAGAATTGTTTTGTTTAATGTCGTGCAGTCAGTTCCAACTCATAGCGACCCTGTGTAGGGTTTCCAAGGAGCGACTGGTAAGTTTGAACCACAGATCCTACAGTTGAAACTGACCTTTCAGTCCAGTGCTTATCCTGCAGCACACCAGGACTCCTAGTGGACCCCAAGCACCCGTGTCCTGGGAACCTGGTATGACTTGGCAAGAGGAGCTCTTCTGGGTTCGGAGTGGGCCCAGGTCCAGTGGAACCACAGGGTCCTTAAGACAGCACGGAGACAGAAAAGGCGGGGCCATGAGCCCCGGGCTTCAGACACGTCTACAAGTCGGAAAAGGCAGGAACCTGCTCCTCACACACTGATTTCGGCCTGGCGAGACCCAATCCGGACTCTGCCCTCCAAATAGTGGGATAACACATGTGCAGTTCGGCTTTTGACTGCAGGAATGGGCAATGAGTCAGTTGTCTGATAAGCACCTGACTGCCAACCTCAAGGTCAGCAGTTCAAAGCCACCAGCCACTCTGCAGGAGAAAGGTCTACAGCCTGGGACCCCTACACAAGACGAGGCTGGCGGTATAAACCCACCCCTGCTCTCAGAAACCCTATACAGGGTCACTAGGAGTCAGAACCGACTTCACGGCACTGGGTTTGGTTTTTATTTTCTTATCAATACGGCTACTGTCGGGTAAGCACTGCACTGCAAAGTCGGTGTGAACTAGAAGGTCACTCCTGGGAAACGCTGGCTGAGGTGGACCTGACCCGATGGTACTTCCACGGCTCCCCGCTGGGCCCCTCTCCATCAGTGAAGTCCCCTACACCACCCAGTAGGTCAGCTCCCCCCAACTCAGACCCTCAGCCTGGACACTGCGTCCACACCACAGACATGGGCTTCCTCAGAATTCCCCTACTGGTACCACCCACAGTGCCCCGAGCCTCCCTTCTGAAACCACCCAAGGCCCACTCAGGGCCCCCACCCTCCCAGCACTACCCCAGACACCCCGGGGACCCCCTTCCCAGAACTATGCAGGTACCCCCCCCAGAGCCCCCCTTCCTGAAACTACCCAGATACCCCCAGAACTCCCCTTCCCTCCACTGCGGGGCTGGGTCCTCATGCACTGTTCTGACCGCTCTTGCCTTGGCTCTGCTGACCCTGTGTGTTCCACACCCTGACCCAGTCCTCGGGCAGAGCCGGTGAGGGCACAGTGCTGGTGAGGAAATCACGTCCCTGGCACCCTGAGGGCTGGTCTGTAATATTTATTGTTGGGATTCCCATGAGGACGGCACACCAGTGTGTGTATTCTGAGGGCAAGGCCCCCTGGAGGGTCTCCCCGAGGAGCAGGAAGGCAATGGGCTGCTGCTACAGGAAGCGGATCCCAGCCCCAAACTGGACGCCATCACATATCCTACAATGAAACAAAGTGACGTATTAACTCGCGTGGCGTCGGCTCCACTCCTCTCGTCAAAATCCCTGAGCTCACCTCACCCCCATAGCGCCTTCCTTCCCCCACCAGGAAGCCCAGACTGCCCAGGGAGAAGGACACACAGAACTGAGATCACACTGGGCGGTGCATCTGCAGAAAGCAGCCACTTGTACACCCTATGGCCCTGTTCTAGAACGGCGGCGTCCCCAGGACGGCTGGTCACTCAGGTGAGCAGACACGTCCATCACAAGACATCGCACCGTCTCAGGGGAGGGCTGCTGACTGACGAAAACCGGCCAGTGCTTTTCTTTGCCATCCGATGCAGCATGAAACCCAGGGACAGCGCCGTGCGCAAGCTGAGCAGCAGCAGGATGGATGGCGGGCCAGGTCCTGAGAGCCAGGAGGAAATGCGGAGCCATGACTGATGGATGGTACAATGTCCTGTTGCTCCCGTTCGTTTACTCTTCACATCGTCAAACTGGCAAGAATCGTCTCCACTCATCTAAAGACGAGTTCCGAGATCAGACTAAGTCAAGCCCAGTGAGGCAGCACGTTCAGCTTTACACAGAAGACACCTATGGGCCCAGGTGTATGTTCAGGGCCATTCACAGCCACAGGAGACCCACGCGGGAGCTTCTTCCATCTGCACACCACCACCTCACCATCCATCCTCACACCCACCTCTGCTGGGGTTACTGCGGGAGGCTCAACAGGTGATGTTCTGTCCCTGTCCTAGTCCTGACCCTGCCTGTACCCCACCTGCCTCTACAAAGGCACCTCAAAACTAAAACGGAAAGAGAATGGACTCTGTCCGCAAACTTTGTGAAGCCCCCTTGTAGTCTTCCCCAGTCTCTAGCCCCCCACCACTGCCAGCACATGTCTTTCTGAGGGTGGGCTGAACAGTACAGTCCTCCTGCTGACCCCCATGTGTGAGGAACAGCGCCCTTGTGTTCTCAGCCCCTGGTCCGCCTTCCTCCTCTGGCTGCAGAGCATCCCCAGGGACAGCTTGGTCCCCACAACTCGGGCCACTTGGGAAGACACGTGTCCAGGCACTGGTGGCTCAGCAGTCCACGGCGGCCCCAGTGTGTTTCCATTTTCATAAAGGTCTGCACCCCATTACAGAGCACCCACAGACTACAGGGAAACCTGGGAATGCACTGGCTGCTTACACTGAACAAAGAGGAGAAAATTTGGGCAGTACCTCCCACCTCCTGAAGCTCTGATCTCTGTGAAGAGAGGCTGGGGAGGCCGGGCCACAATCATCACAGAACCAGAGCTGGTGGAGGGGCGTCCTAGGGGGCCAGTCAGGAGGGGTACAGAGCCAGAACACACCCTATATGTGTAAGCCGGAGGCGGGGCTCAGCAGGAACAGAGCCATCCTCTTGAAAGACTAAGGACAGGCTCCCTCCCAGAGCAGCAGGCTGACTTCCCGGAGCACACTGACACCCATGGCTCCACACAGTACTGCAACGGTAGCAGGCTGCAGTTGAGGGCAGACCAGAAGAAGGCAAGGTGGTAAATGCCTGGCTACTACCACAAAGATGGGCAGTTTGAGCCCACCAGCTGCCCTGTGGAAGAAGGAAGAGGTCTTGTACCCATACAGATGATGGCCTGGGCAGCCCTGTCACAGGGCACTGAGGTTGGTTTGGATACCTCCATGATTGGCACCAGAGTGCACACCACCTGAACCACACGCTCCACCATGGTGCTCAGTGAGGACAGGGACCCACGCTTCACTTGGCGTCTGACACCCTCATTAGTCCCCTCCCTCCCAGGAGAGCGCAGCATGGGAGCCACGTGAGAGAAGACTCAAAACTGGAGCCAAGAGCCCACGGCATCACACGTACCAACCCCGAATGCTGCTGTGAGGGGTGCTGAGCCGGTTCCGACTCAACGTCTAACAGAATGAAACACTTTGTTGTAGGCACTGTTGCCACTCCATCTCACTGGGGGCTTCCTCTCATCTGCTGACCCTCACTACAAGCATGATGCCCTTCTCCAGGGCCAGCAGGTCCGAAGGACTCGATAGGCAATCTCAGTATCCGCACTTCTACAGAACACTCTGGATGCACTTCCTCCAAGCAGGCTTGTTCGTTCTTCTCATTGGCCACGGTGTCGTCAGGATCCTTTGCCAACCTCCTAACCCAGTGACATTAATTCTTCTTGGGCATTCCTTATTCACTGTCTAGCTTTCACACACACGTGAAGCGAATGAAAAGGTCATGGCTGAGGTAGGCGCACCTTAGTTTTCCAAGTGACATCTTTGTTTTTTATCTCTTTTTAAGATATTTTGCATCAGATGTGTCCAATGTCATACATGAATTTCTTGACAGTGCTTCCCTGGGCACTGACTGGGATCCAAGTAAAATGAAACCCGTGACCACTTCCATCTTATCTTCTGTTTATTTGCTGCTGCTTAGTGGTCCAGCTGTGAGGATTTCTGGTTTTACACTGAGGTAATCCATGTAACCCACAAGTGCGTCAAGTCCTCTCTGCTTTCAACAGCAAGGCTGCTCACCAGCATATGGCAGGTCATCAACAGGCAGCGATGAGACAACACAGACACCTTATGACAACTCTTGACTTATTAAAATGTACCCACATACGCAAAGTAACGTAGGACATGGACTCTGAGTTGAACCCTAGCTGTCCCGGCCCTGAGCTATGCTCGTCTGTGCATGCGATCGATCATGTGCCTGAGATTATGACAGGGAAAGGAGCTGGGCTGGGGTGCCAAGGGAGCACTCCTCTGGTGCTGAGAGGATCCCTTGAGGGTGAGCCCTCTCCGGCTGGAAGCAGAGATGCACCCAGCCCCGTGAAGCTGGCCACAGGAATCCCGCTTCCTTCCCACTTCCTGTGAGCGGGATGGTGGGCCTCTCCTCAGATCCCTGGGCTGGACTGTGAGCTGCCCGCCCGCCTAACCCCAAGTAGCCTGGGGCAGGGCTGGGAATAGGACGTTTTTCTTCCAAACTGAATGGAGAAAAACCCATTGGTGGAAAATACAAACACTCTCATTGGTTAACTATTCAATTTCTCCTGCTATCTCGAACCCTGAAGTCCACTGATGAACGGAGGACGGAGATGGAGTACAGACGACGGCATGGGCACCAACCTGTCGCCCCTCTGGACGCCCATGGGGATGCAGTAGTTCAGCTCCAGGCGGGCGATGTTGCCGAGCCTGAGGACGATCCCAGCGCCATACGACCAGCGGATGCACTCAGCCAGTCTGCGGATGTGGGCCTTGGGGCCCTCCCCTGGAAAGAGAAGGGTGTGAGGCCAAGCCGCTCTGCCCTTGTTACTGTGTGCCCGCGGCTGCGAGGACAATATGCCAAGTGGGCGGGGGGCTCAGACCTGTCTGTCCCAGAGTAGCCACACTTTCTCCAGCTCTGGGGCTCCTGCCTTTGCTGACACTGGTTCCCCCCACACTGCCCACCTGGAATCCTGCCCCCAGCCTCAGCGGTGATGCTCCCCACCCACGAGCTGGCTCTGTCTCCAGGCGACTCCCCAGAGTCCAGCTCGGCTCTGCAGCCCTAAAGGCCAGCAAACAGTAAGTGCTGGAGAGGTATCTGCTGACCACGGGGACAGACAGGTATTCCTCTGCAGCTACACAGGGAACCTCCCACGCGTGCACCACCCACTCAGCCCGGCACTACCAGGTGTGGGCGGAGCTGTTCCACGTAAGTAAGGCACCTTCTGACTCCTACAGCCGATGGGCTCACAGCAGACATGCATCTGTGTGCAAGCTGTGAGCCGGGCGAGCTGTGAGCAGGGTGAGCTGTGAGCAGGGCTCTCATACCATAGTTGAGGTTGCACAGGTTCCCGGCGTTGAGAAAGAAATGGGTTCTGAAAAGTTCTCCAAAGCCTCCCTGGCCCGGCCGGAAGGGCAGTGGGGTGTAGAGGTGCAGGCCGCTGGCCCAGTATGCTTCCCCTCCCAGGTAGTCTCCTATCAGGGAGGGAGAGATGCAGAACAGAGGAGGTCACGTGGCCGTCAGTCAGCGAGCCTCCCAGGCCTCACTTCAAACCCTCTTCCTTTTGTTGTTTAGGAAAGAATGAAATCTGTACTTTTCCTATCTATACCCTGCTTGAGATGAAGAATAGAATCTGGGGAAAATCCCTTTATCCACAAACGCACAAGACTCCAGCACTCCAGCCCGGCAAATGAAATGCAGTCTTTTAGTAAAACCCTGTCAGACCATTGCTGTGGGTTCTGGAACTGGGCACACCCCGTGTCACCCACACCCGGCACCGTGTGGCCCAACACACCATGTCTGGGCCCAAGTGCCTGCAGAGAAGAGGCAATTTCATAAGGTTTGGGACCATAAGGAATTTGGAGGGGGGTTGGGGGGAGGGGACCGCAAAGGGTAATCTTGAAAAATCACAGACTATTCACCAAGAGCACATTTTCATTATTTCGGAAAAGGGTCCTAGTCCCTCTTTCATTTTAACTAGTCATGCTGAAAGGGGCAAAAAAAAAATTCCCTGAAATGTTACTTTGCTATAAAATGCTGTCTGTGAAGGGGTGTGGTCCTTCTACACAAAGTGACAGCTCATGACGAAGGAAAACACCGCTGTCTCTGCAAGTGACCTCGAGGACAGGACTGCTCATTCCCACAGCGGGTCCACCGCGTCTGCGTCCCCTTGACTACAGCTCTCAAGCCCTGGCTGAGATCCTAACCAGTTTCTAGAGAGACAGACACTAGAAGGCCAAGTGCAGTTTCTAGTTCCCAGAAGCAGTTCTTTCTTTCCGTAAGTAACTGAATTCTGACGTGAAAATATGAATCTGGTAACTACAGGGACTCACGGGGTACCTGGGTACCCCTTCTTCCAGAGATGTGTGATGGGAAACTGGGAAATGCGGCTGGGTTCACTGTCGTACAGCCGTCTTAATCTTGGTGTTTGATCTTTTTTTACAGTTTAATAAGTTATAAGCCATTTCCCTGAGACTGGTTGAAAGCGTGACTTCTGTGCTAAGTAATCACGTGCTCCCATGGACCTGACAGGACGAGTGCCAGGTGTTCCAGGATGCCACCTCTCAGAAAACACAGTCACATCAGTCTCCCTCAGAGCGGCTGCTGGGTTCAAACCACTGACCTGCAGGTTAGCAGTGAACCATCTGAGCTGCGTCACCAGGATTCCCAGATGATCACGCAGAGAGACCGTAATTCTAAGGAGTCCTGATGGTTCAGTGGGTTAGGAGTTCAAACCCATCAGCTGCTCCACGGGAGAAAGACGAAGCTGTCTGCTCCTGCAAAGCCTCGCAGACGTGGGGAACCAGTCCAGGGGGGCTGAGCTGACACCCACTCGGGGCAGAGGGCGCGTGGGGGTTTGTCTGTGTGCCCTGGTATGAGGAGCCCCGGGGTGCACTGGGGTGTGGGGGGGGCCTGGTTTTCACACCATGACTTAAGTGTCCACTCTCTCCTATTGTCACACTGGCTTCCAGCTGTCTGACAGTGGGCACTACCCTGTGATGAGCACCGTGCATGTACGCACACACACACACACACACACACACATTTACACCCTGTAGTGACATACGATATTCATATAGAAAAGGACATTCGAAGAGTACAGCTCAGTGGGATTTCACACTGAACACACCCATATTAACAAGCACCCACATCAAAACACAGAACATGGCTAGCTCCCCTGGAAGTCCTTGTTTATGAACTGAACAATGTCCCCCCAAAATGTGTTGTAAACCCTCACTCCACTGGTGTGGTGCTACAGGATAAGCACTGGACTGCAAGGTTGGTGGTTCAAATTCACCAGCCACTCCATTGAAACCATGAGTCAGAATCGACTCAACGGCACTTCACCACCACAACATACTGTGTGGTTGGTAGATTGTGAGAGGCTAATTCCACAGTGACCAAGTGGGAACATTCTAGTTCTTTTGCAATTTACGTACAGCCTCACAACTGGATGAGCCAGATAGTGGGTGTGGCGGGACGGTGGGGCCAACAGACCTTCACTCTGGGGTCCGATGCTGTGCATGCTGAATCCACGGACACTGGTTGGGCCGCCCAGGTAAAACCTACACAGAGCAAAACAGCAGAGTGAGGTCATCAGGTGAATAACAAGAGCAGACCCGAGAGTGCGCAAACCAGAGCCGCCCGGGTGCAGCATCTGAGCCTCCCTTACTCAGGCAAACCACCTATAGAGACTGAGCGACGCAATGAGCTTCAACAGAAGCTTCCAACTTCAGGGAGGTAGGTGGGACACAGCGCACAAACTGAGAAGCTCAGGGGTGGGAAAGGGTGAGGGGCACGTCCATTCTAGATGAATGAAGGGCTCCAACCAGCGCCTGCGAGGCCGGTGCTGGCCCAGACAGTGTGGCGTTCTGTTATACACAGGGTCGCTCCGAGCCGGACCAACTCGATGGCACCCAACATCAGAAAAGGGCCCCCTAAATGCTCCCAATGTAAAGTGAAGAACCAAGAGCACACAGCTGATTGTAGTACAGGAAGATCTCAAAGTCGGAGATTGCGATCCACCGCCCTCCAGCCGATTCTGACTCACAGACCCGACACGTCGGGGTCTCAGGCTGGAAATCTTCCTCTTCCTCCCAAGGAGGGATCACTCACCTTGTAGTTAAGAGTC